AGACACTGGTGAAGGTCATAGGAGCACAGAGGTGGTCTCACCGCCTCTTGTTGTAGATGAAGTCATTCCTCTCAGTGAAGAGGGCCATATCCTCGTTTTCTGTAGAGGTTGGACAAGACCCTGGCCTCTTGCTCTTGGACTGGAATTTGATACGAACTAACTACAATATTTTTTAACCGGGAGTTTGTGGCCAAACTTTTGAACAGTTAAATGTTTTGGCCACGAATTCCAGATTGCTTAAAAATGGCAAGAACTGACTACGACCATATACGAATTAGTTAAGAACTTCACGAACTGATTACGATTCAACCACGAATCCTCAAATTTGTCAATTTGTGGCTAGTCGTGGAATTCATGGACTGTGTGGAATATGGGCATTATCAGTTTTTTTGGGTTTTTTTAGATATTAACCAAATATATGAGTCAGTGGATTTCCTGATTGATCATTGAGTGTTTGTAGGAGTAGTAACCGTGATCAATTGCTACATTTCCGCCAGAGTTTGATGATGCTCTTTGACGTCTTCGTAGAGAGAACATGATCAATTGTATCTCAAACGTTGTGAAAATAGATATGAAACGTTTGGACAATTGATCGACATCAACGGAGATTTGACGATTTGAAAATTGGACTCATATTTGCTACCCAGCCAGGGGATAGTTTGTCCATTTAAATCTTTATACTTAGATCTAAACATGAAACAGGGTTTTATTATTCATCTGTTTCCAGCTCGGGAAACTCATCGGAAGGGAATACATAATCTGACCATTATTGAACGATATATTCATCAACGCACTTGAAGTGTAACCTAAACAAGACCTCTGTTCTCACGCTTCTGTTTACCATGGCTTTATACTGGTATTGACAGTGCTCTCGTCTTGCCCGTTGTTACTCTGATTGTTAAACAGATTGGGAGGTTAACACAAATAAATAGTAGTCATATAATGAACTTCAGATATGACCATGGAAACGCTTTTCTACTTCCTATGTTTGACTTATATCCAATTTTATTATTTTACTAATACCCATTTATTTGTTTTGTCTCTTATTGACGTATTTATAGCCTGTTGGTGTCGTAGGAACGTGGAACGAAACACCGAACTTCCACTGTCTCTGTTAGACATGGTTCCGGAGAGTAGTAATCCTGGGCTAAAGTCACTCAGATACACCCGATGTCATAGCATGTTTTACCACGTTTTCTATCCACGTGTTGCCAGTTACACAGGTCATGTAGGTTGGCAAATACTCACGATCTATTTTAATGTTTCTTGAGGAGGTCCAGTGTGATTAATGCTATAAAAACATACCCTCTAAAACACTGCACTTACCAAGTGGACGTTACCTGGGTCAGGCGTATTTAGTGCCCGGGCACATACCTAATTAACATCACGCTCGCCCTGATGACCTTTACTGACTATGTTCTTGTGTATGGTGCGCGCTAGTTCTGTTAAGAAGAGTTCGCATTAAACACGTAAATGAATTCTGATATTTGTTTCACGGTGCTAAGTCATCGTCGGAAATACCAATCATGCCAATATTCATTCAGGCCAATAATTATTCATGCATTTTCATTGTTTGCTTCTTTCAGGCTTTTTCCAAATGTCTATTGATATTGTCAAAGCGTGGTGTATGCATGTCGACTGGGGAATTTGCTCACAATTAAGATGAAGTGTGCGTTGATGAAGACGAAGGCATAGTTGAGTTCAAACGTCTTTAGTACATGACAAACAAATACACAAGACATGAGCGAGGTGAGCGGAGTGCCTGCTCAACCCCAGGACGTTTCCTACGAGCGGCATTATCCTGCTTGTGGTCGTCCCAACAGACAGTCCAAATGCCGATCTCGTACTCCTTCACTGTCTAGATGTGAGCATACTAAGTATATATACAGTTTTTGACAACAATGGACAGGCGACGACTCATCAATGAACAGACAGAAAAACAATAGCCCTTCCTTGACCAGTTGATGTGATGGCAGACACGGCCAAGGGGCATTGCCAATGAAGGTTATAAATGTCTTATACAATAATTAATGGGCCGACAAGTCAATTTATAATGCGGTAGTGATAAGGATGTTCAGTAGTGATTAGAATACAGGTTAGCGTCATATATATATTACTATAAAATCTCACATGCCTTGACTACATAGTTTTTGACTTTTTAAATATTTGGACGATGGCTGTCCTGAATTAGTCCCTATAACAATATATTTGAATCTGTAGTACGTGACATGCCACCATTTCTTGATTTCATGTTTTATCCAAGTTGTACTTGCTTATCACCAAGATGTTATAGAAAGCAAAAAACCTGTCACAGAATATATTGCATAAAATGTTAGCGTTTAGTCTGTTGATTAAGATAAATAGCCACAAAGTACAATGTCAGTGTTCCATGATGTTTCTGTTACAATATTTCGGTTCATGGTTGTAATTAAAATAGTAGCTGAATTTACAGTTTGTCGCCATATCCATATCCCCATTGAAGTTCCGTTGAATCTTATTTAGCAAGAGTTAAATATCTGGACATTCTTTCACGAACAATATGGCATATCAGGTAATCTGTACGAGCGATATGTCTTTCGCAACCATTACAGGAGTGTGTTCTCGTAGAGGGTCCGTCAACAATAATCCGAGAACAAATATCACTGTAGATGTATAGCAACGTTTCTGCCTGGATGTAATGATTTGCAGCCTATCAGTAATAACACCTCCTCAGGTAAGAAACAATCAGACTATGTCAAAATTTCATACCTCGGTCGGGGTTTGTCATGATTATGTGACTCACTTTTTCCTGAAATAAATCAAAACGACAAAATCCTTTCCACATTCACAATGAATAAAAGCGATAAGACCCTTTCCACATCCATACTATACATTAAAGTGACAAAACCTTTTCTGCATCCGAATTCCAAAGGAAATGAGCATGTGTTTATGAGTCACTATCAATAAATGATATTGCCAGGTAAAGACGAAAATTTATTGATGTCAACTTCTTTGCTTAAAAACCAAAGAAATAAAAAATAAGAATAAAGAAGCTGACATCCTTAAACTATGTGCATCACTTCTAACAGCCGCTCAAAGGCATGATGTCATATCTGAAAAAAGGAACGTCTCTTTCCCCATTGCTTTCACCAGTCATAAACATTCACAGAGGCTGACAAAAAGTAGGAATGTGTGGTACAAGCCAAGATAGGCAATTGCATCGGACATCATTTTTGTCATTCAAATTTTCAATTTTCTGCTACATATTTACAATAAACCTTTCCCAAGCTTTAAGGTGGAACTGAGTGAAACTTGATCGAACAACTTCTGATTAAGATATGTGTGATGGTCTTTGAAATCTTTGTGAAAACAGCATGCACTGCTGTAAACACATAAGGCTGGAGCTGTTGGCATATTGCTCGACATGACGGGGAAGGGGGCTATGGGGAAGTGAACATCAGCGTTTATCGTCATACAGTCTTGCGGAGAGTTGTCACATACGACCTACTGTATATCTACAGAGGGACAAGAGGAGAGCACTATTTGTGTCCAAGGGAATTGACGAAGATGTAATCAGTGAGGAAGCCAAGAATTTTAGTTATTGGTTTTTACATCATTTCAGATAAGATTTGCTCCCAATTTCTACAAATTGTCCCGAACCTCAGAAAATACATGTGAAACTATACATTAATTAAGCACAACTTGAATCTAAGGTCAGTTTGGTTCCAACAGGCGATCATAACGCAGTGCACATGTACAGCACATACATCACACAATATATCCTAAGTAGTGTTGGGAATTGGTTGAAATCTCACAATTTATGATTGCTTCATTACCAACGATCAATCATCGAAAAAATCTGGTTAGCGTCATTTTTCAGATTTTCCCATCCAGGTTGTTATTCCAGATACGTATAACATGATGCAACTTACTACTTTAAAGTGATGACTAATATATCATGAACATAAACTTCCTTGAGTCTTAGAGAAATATTCAGTCATGGCTTTTCAGTTAGTGAAGTGAGTTTTCTAAGAATTAAACACGTTTTCAGGCCCTGACAACTTCTAAGATATTGTCAAGTTTTTCAAAGACTAAAGTAGTTCCAAAATCGTTTATGTTCGATTATGAGAAAATGTCATCGATTGCTTGGTCGTTTGGTCACTGCGACCAATCTTCGATTATTTCAATTAATCTGAACACCGCTAATCTAAAGCTATGGTGACATGTTCACATGCCTTCGACGACGCGATGGACATTGGGATGCAAACCTATCTCAACTGATTTATACGAAAGTGCCAACAATTAACGTTTCTTGATAAGGGGGGGACGCAGAGTTTCAGAAAATACACGATGGCACGTTTGTGGCATGCTTGACGCAAGAATGTCCTGTCGTCACCTCAGTACCTACATTAACCGCAGTTATCAGTCGAGATGTCAGGAAGCACATGGTCCCCCGTGAAATAGAACTGGGCGATAGTAGATAGTGGGAGTCAGACGTGTTTGACCTCTTGCAGAGCAACGCCATCGAAACATTACCATGTATACCGTCATGTTACGAGGAATTTGGTTTTCAAAGCACATACAATAACATGTGATGTTTTCGCACGCCCCTCCTCCACACAATGCATTTGTATTCTACCTTGAAACAAAACTATCTAATGCAATGTAAATACAATTAGAACAATTCCTTGACATGTGATCCTGCGTGTGTATCTAACTGTCCACGTCGTGTGAACAGTCCACACCAATACTGTTGCCATCATGTGTTCCCAGGGCGATCAGGTGGCGTGGCCGTATCAATAGTGGAAAGGCACACACGAACGCATACGCCCACCATTGATTGTGTCCCGCCAGGATCAACATTTCAAGCTGTTTCAACAAATCTGATGCCGAGGTAATCAGTATATATGTTTCATCCTGTCTCCCAGATACATAGTGCTAATTGGTCATCGCTGTCACAACTGATGGAGGCGTACAACTGTTTCCGGTTCCACTGCTAATATACAGGAGCAACAGTTTTTAAACCATTTACGTAGATATGTCCCGTCCTTAAACTGTGTCTGTCTGCACTGTTGTTTGGAATCAGAGACTGGAAATAATCAGTGAGGAACTCTGGTCTTCAGTACTGACACGTGCTTCATAGACTCTCTTTGATCTCATCTTGTGTTATCTGTCTGCGATATGAATTTGATACGTGAATGTGTCACCTGGATCTACACGAGGGATATGTGAAATCATTCTGTTGTATCAATCACTTGGTAACCTTTCACCTGAGCTTGCGGTCAGAGATATCAGCCTGATATCTGAGGAACGAATCAACATTTGTGATATCAACCTATGATTAACACCTGTGTCATCAACCACAGTTAGGCTTTATTAGAAACTAGAATAACTATGAAACTATAGGCTGACATCACAACATAAATGAAGCACTGTCTTTTCATCTACCTTGCCTTTCTGTGCTTGTTACTCTACATTGCGACGTGTCATGCACAACGAGAACTGTACGATCATTTATTTACCAACCACAGCACCGTAGTTCGGCCAGTGGCAAACGTCGTAAGCCCAGTGAACGTGACTGTGGGGTTTGGTCTAATCATTCTTGAGAACCACGACGAGAGACGGCAAGTATTTATCAGCCAAGGCGTTCTGACCGTCGCGTGGAAAGATGAAACTCTCGCATGGTCGAAACGTGACTTCAACGTGAGTAGGATCATCGTTCCAGCAAGTGCATTGTGGGTACCCGATCTGGTCATTTTAAATGACGTCAACAACAACGGCCACGTTACAACGGATGGCATCAGAGTCGTGTTACACTACACCGGCGACGTCATGTTCAGTGTTGGAGGTAGACGTGAGACATACTGTCGTATTGACGTAACCGAGTTTCCCTTCGACACTCAAAGGTGTCAGATCCGCTTCGGACAGTGGGCGTCTATCAACTCCGAAGTACGAGTTACTCCAGCGTCCAGCAACATAGATCTGAGCGATTACGTTGGCAACAACGGCGAGTACACCATAGTGCACACGAACGTGGAGACTGTCACCCCTGAGTTAAGCAATCAAACAGAACTGCGGTTTTGCGTGACATTTACCCGAAAGAGTTTGTACTACATTCAGCTATGTGTCCTGCCCGTCATCCTCCTGTCGGTTCTCAATCTCGCCGTCTTTCTCGTCCCGAGTGAGAGTGGCGAGAAGATGACTTTGGGTATTTCAGTCTTTCTCTCCTACGCTGTATTCCTCACCATCATCCACGGCTTTCTCCCTGAAATCTCAGACACCATATCCTTATATGGCATCTATCTAAGCATCATGGTCTGCCTGAAGGTCCTGACCTTGTTGCTCTCCGTTGCCGTCCTCAATATGCACCATAGCAAAAGCCAACAGCCTCCGCCATCTTGGATTATGAAATGCAGGCTGCTACTCCGTTGCAGAAGAATGTCCTGGCACCTGGCACCCGAAACAGTAATTGATCCAGATGACAGCGCCAAACTCAAGGCTGTCCACACTCAGTCATGGCAGGATGCTGCTCTAACTTTGGATCGAATGCTGTTCTTCATATTTTCTACTGTGACATTTACCGTCACGGCAGTTTTCTTCTACGGTCTCACCAAATGATCACCCATCCACCGGGGCAAGGTACATTTGTCTATGTGTACTTTTGTTTGTTTTTCGATGTATTCAGCAGTGCTGCAGCTATGCCACGACAGCCTTTAATTAATGGAACTTCGTTTATATAAGTTAATGGTTGATGTTATGACGGTCCGTTGACACGAAGTGAACAAGATCACACACCCTACCACCCATCTTGCTTAGTCACTGCTGGGGGACAGGCAAGTAATGCTGTATCATGCTCGGACATGCTTTGCCACTGTACTTAAAATTGGTTCCTTGATGAATGTCTTGCTAATAAATTTGCAGTATCAAATGATTTGTGTCATGTTTTTCACGTTGACTTACTGTAACGGAGTCAGTAGGCCTATGGGTACATGGTACTGACAGTGGCCATGTTAACTGACACAAGTATGACATGTACATGCATGTAAAACTTTACTGAGTATTTTTGAAAAGCTGGCAGGATGTGTTTGTCGTACGACTGAATGAGTGAGTGAATGAGTTTAGTTTTACGCCGCACTCAGCAATATTCCAGCTATATGGCGGCGGTCTGTCAACAAACCAGTCTGGACCAGACAATCCAGTGATTAACAGCATGAGCATCGATCTGCGCAACTGGGATACAATGACATGTGTCAACCAAGCCAGCGAGCCTGACCACCCGATCCCGTTAGTCGCCTCTTACAATAAGCATGGGTTACAGAAGGTTCATTCTAACCCGGACCTGTCTTACACCGCAGTCTAACATCTGCATGGCGGCGAACACAGAGCAGAGAAATGAGTGGTTGATAGAAGGAGCACTGTCAATGTAAATGAGTTACGATGGTATACTACACTGCTGTTATTGCTGTGAATCTTTTATAAATATAAGCGACAAAAGTCACTTTCATATTAATATATCTGCTTAACACAGAGCTAGTCTGACACTGTAGCGTCGGTGATTCGTTGCCTACCTTGAAACACTTTGACAGGCATACACGGGTCTAAGATTGTGAGTGTGAATTAAGTTTAACACCGGGTTTTCATGTTTATCTCACGACAGCTCGATGAGAGAGAATATGTAACCCAACACGTATCAGATCCTTGCAAATGTCAGAATTGAACTTCAGCAACCCAAGCTAGCAGTAAGGGGCCATTGATTATATAGCATCAGATGGTCAGACTCGACGATCAGGTTACAGCATGCCATCGTATCCGAGATGATCTATTATTATGGTGCCAACTACTGGATTGTCTGGTTAGGGTTCTATTCATTTACAGAGAGAGGAAACACTTAATCAACATCAGAAGGTTGAGTTCAGGGTTGAGATGGGCTTTACGTCACATCGGCATTATTCATATAGCCATATAGTGACGAGATCAAGTTTCCATTCATTATATTCCAAAACATATATACCCGTGCCAATAATGGACTCACCATAATCAATGTCTCGCCTGGAGGGCGATGTCAACTTGTTACCAATCTATGCCTATATAATTTGCCTCGATAATCATTACAACCATTATTGGCATGAGTATATATATACATTACATATTTATTTAAAAAACTTGGCACAATCTTACGTATATATCGTGCTTAGTGATACATGTTTTCCATTCTCGTGTGAACCAAACGAGACAATCTCTTAACTCTTTTTATAGTCTATAGACGTATTCCTTCGCTGAGAATAATAAACTCCCTCGGGTTATTCAAAAACAATACTTGGACAGAGTTTTGCAGAATAATCTTAATTACCGTAACAACAAGGAGTCTCTGTCTTGTGATTACACCTTCAGTTCACTTACATATATTTTTCGAATCACACCACGCTCTCCGTTGAAGAAGGTCTCAGTACTTCACTCTCGATGATAATCTGGCGTCTTTGGACTTGAACCGGGCTTGGAGTTTTAACGAGATTATGTTGTAATGTTCCCACCAGTAATACTGCTAGCAAACAATAGAGTTGATATCACCAGAAACATGATCATGTGTGACCGCTGACTTTGTTGCGTAATGTCGAGTTCAACTGTACGATAACAGTTCCACTGACAGCAATCTTATTTGAATATCTAATTTGCATGCTTGTGTCATTGGGGTATGACGTATGTTGTGTCTTAGGTTTATGTCCCGGATCAATGCTTTAGTTAAATGATTAATCCCTGTTATCATGAAAACCACTTTCAGATAGCAGTGGTAATACCATTAACATCAGTGATATAAATACTATACCTGGCAGCAACACAGGTCAACCTCCAAAATTGACTTAGGCAAGACATACATGGTGACAATGATGACCTAATGCTAATATAGACATACGTAATTTTATATAGGCCCAGTTTCGTTTTAGGTGCTTCACAACTTGTGGCCAATCAGTAGCAACCTATCCCGTGAACGGTGAGACACGTTCCTGTTTTTTATGGCGTTTCTGAAAGATGCTATTACCAAGACGCATTATAATGGTGATACCGAAAAAGCATTAAATGTTGTCAAAACATTGAGGTTAATTGTCAATAAACGACGATTTCAGTTTCTGCCTTAACAGTAACTCACGACAAAGAGGACGCTATTCCGAAGTAACAACTGTACTATGTAACCATACTGACAGAATGGTTATGGAGTCGACACTCTCACAGAAATACTATTTCATAAAGTCAGATCGGAATTTCTTCCCGTATTAACGAATGTCACAATCAGTGAACTGCTACAATTTCGGATGATGACTGTGTGCTGTTTAACACACAGACGACGTGAATCTACATTAGCTCTAGCTTAGTGGAATGTTGTTTCTTCTAACTGCTGATCATCATGTACATAGCTGCGGATTATGTTTGCATATAGTGTGATCATTTAATCAATGTTGACTGTATAGTTAAGGCAAGTATGCTGGATATATTCCATAATTATATCAGCATAATAGGGTACATGGTGTTAGGTAATATTGCACAACATTACGGTGGAGGACGCCATGGAAGAGGTACGAACATCATACAAAAATAGGAAAAGAAGAAGAAGAAGAAGAAGTTTATTCAGTATTTGAGGCCACATGGCCAAGAGTACAAACATATAAGAACAATATTGTGCGGATGGACAGAAAAAAACAATGCAATTAGTTCATTTTCATACAGGGAAAAAGGGTTTTGTATAATAAAGATTTGATGGGCTATATTTTCCCCTATACACACGACGTCATATAGATTGTTTGGAAACACATGGTCAAAAACACTGTAACAGTAAAACGGATAGCGCAGTCGCCTTTGGTGATGATATCCATGGTTCGAATCCCCAAATGTCAGGGGCGGTGGGGTAGCCTAGTGGTTAAAGCGTTCGCGCCGAAGACCCGATTCCCCACATGAGTACAATGTGTGAAGCCCATTTCTGGTGTCCCGGCCGTAATATTGCTGTAATATTGCTAAAAGCGGCGTAAAACCATACACACTTACTCACTCACTCACTCACTCCCAATATGTCTGTACCCTACATACATACAGTCAAGAGGTTTCGGGGTTTTCCCTCACTAAGCTGATACAGAATGATGCAGATTCAATGCGTCATAGTGAGTTTAAGCCGGGCTCAGGATCACTCGCACATGTATTCCCACGGAGATGTTTATCGTGTTACTTCAATTGGTTCGTATAGGTAAAGAAATCAATATCCGTATTTTACTATAATAAGACAATGAAAACAGTGCTAAAGTACATGTATGTGTAAGCAAATAGAATGCCCTTATTTGGAGCATGATTCTCGGAAATCCACAGTGTTGACTTGCTGATTCCATTGTTACACTGACTACAAACTGTAAAGAGGGTCCTAGACTGTGTCCTCAAGCTCACATCGGATCTGTTCTATTTCCGTTTACAACCCCTTCCACTCTGAGCCAGGAAGACATTAAAGTGTCACTATATATCATCAAACACACAATTTAACAAGTACCGGTAAATCACTTAGAATCTCACATTGTATAAGTTATAATATCAACATCCTTTATCCATTCAGGAAGCGCTCAAACTGATGACAGGCAAAGAGAGTTTGACTATGAATGTCCCAATATGAAAATAGTTAGGTTTGATTTGTAATACTGTCTTAAAATATGAACCGGCGACAACGGCAACATTCACTTACCTTCACCGTACATGGACTGTCGTGGTCTTCCAGCTAAATTGTTACGAAAAAGTTGTGATGGCGTTTCTCATTCTTTCTCTGCATACACAAACCCATTTAGAAAGTGAGTGAGTGAGTGAGTATGGTTTTACGCCGCTTTTAGCAATATTCCAGCAATATCACGGCGGGGGACACCAGAAATGGGCTTCACACATTGTACCCATGTGGATAATCGACCCGGGTGTTCGGCGTGATGAGCGAACGCTTTAACCACTAGGCTACCCCCACGCCCCCCAGTTAGAAACTGGTTAAATGTAACACATGTCATATTTGGAATTACACTTTCTCAGTTAAGTACAGATTCCTGTACGTTTGTTTGGTTGAGTCCCTCCTGGGATTCGAACCCACACTCTCAGAGTCAGGCACCCACTCGCAGCACACAAAGTCAGCCGCCACTTCTAAGAAAGTGTCCTCCCAATTATAACATGTGTTGTGAACGATGATGGGGATTATATCAGGTGTAAAAAACTTTTTTGGGAGGAAGTACTCTATGCATCATATATAAGCAAAATGCGTAAGACGTGAAACGGATGACGTAATCATGGGTTTATTTCGGTTGATAGTAATCGATATAAGATTTATATTTGATTCTATTTCATGTACATATACACTTCCAGGCAGGGTGTGGCTAATGGTTCATTTGTACACCCAGTGGAGTGTCCGGTAAATGATTCAAATACAATAAGATAGACTTTTAGACAGGATTCATTACCATGAAACATTTATCATCAGAGACAACACATCTCTGATGTGAGTACGCAGCTGTGTAATGGGTGAATCATTTAGAAAGTGGTCAGATTTGGGTAGTGGGATCCGAACCAACACTCTTAGTCAGGCACCTAACCCACTCTGCCACAGCGAATTCCACTAAATTGAAATTCGGACACTTGGTAGTCTAGATCCCATACTTTGTGTACCCCTCTGGCAAGTGTTTATTGTGGAAGCCTCGATGGCTGAGTGGGTTAGATGGCTAATTCCAAATACAACACATGTAACTGTGTAATGTGTGAAATGTGAACAGCTGAACGTTATCAAACATGGAACTATAGTTGTAGGGAATCAAGTGAGTACACAGTTACGTCTGTTGACATTCGATGTCCAGAAGTGAGATCCACACCATCACATCTGTTTGTAGATAAGCGTGGTCACTGTTGAGAGAAAATCATAACAGTTATCATGACGAAAACCCTTCGTTCACTCATGCCAATATATATGACTGATTAACCCACTTCAAGACCTTATAATGGAAGACAAAATCCCGATGCTGACAGAGAAAGATTGTCTTACAACACCCCAGCTTTTTGTGGGAACTGAACCAAATAAACTTCGCTGGAATGTTTGACAGCGTACTATAGGTCGTTGTTCATAATGTTAACCTCTTGTTTGCCTTGTATTGCCAGCACGGTATATTCTAGAGTGTTGGTGAACGCCGCTTAACAGTATCTCGGTTATATCACGGCCTGCGAGTCTGATATGGGATGAAAGGTTGCAGTAATGTCACTGCACACAGCGGTTTGACTGCTGGAACCGCTTGTGACCCGTTCATCACGAATATCACCCTAAAGTATCAACGGACCTATACCATAAAGTGATTACATTGGGAAGAAAGACGTTTATATTTACCTCCCGGGATTTCAGTCAATGGTATGTCTCCGCTGTAATGACAGAAACAATTTTAGTAGATTCAATTTTGCTATCAATGATGTATTGATTGGAGCTTAAGTAGAACAAGAAAAATGATAATATTCTCACATCAAAAGATATGTTCTCATTCAGGAAAGGCAGTCATACTTACTTCTTCTCGACGCTTTCATCTGCAATGAAAAAGTCGAAATTTGTTGTAGTTATTTTGAGACTACGTGTGTATCTGTCTGTAAAAATACTATTGTATCACCACCGGATAACACGTCATGTGTGCCAATAAAAAAGTACAAGAGCTGTGTTTATATGCTTGGTATTGCCATCGCAACAGCTACTAAACGCTCCACAGTGTAAGAACACTGTAATTTATCTGCTCTTACTATAAGCTTGCACCTGTTTTCTACACTGATTTCAGTTATATTTAAGAAATCGAACATATTTCTATACACACCGTGATGACTTTTTCCTTGGAATCTCCTCTTCATGCAGATGACCGTTACCACTAGGACGACCACGAAAACACCGCCGACGATGAAGATGATGTGAAGTTGAAGGGGATGATGGCTTTTTGGGGTATGATATGGACATCCCACTGTGTCACGTGCTATTTAGAATTTGTAAAATGTGGACATCAGTATCTTTCTTCACAATGTCCAAGTGTCGGAAATGGGGTTGATAGGTGCAATGCAAATTCTTTTGTCTCCCCAAGTATGAATCATATACAGAAACCCAGTCAGTCCTTGAGACGTTATAGTCCTGGCCCTGTTTCCAGGTAGGCTGAATGTATGCCGCTTGAAAGAGCATTTCGGTTTTATCAAGGCTTTAATCATCATTTCAGTTTTATCAGGGCTTGTGAGTGAGTGAGTGAGTGAGTGAGTGAGTGAGTGAGTGAGTGAGTGAGTGAGTGAGTGAGTGAGTGAGTGAGTGTGGAGCCATATCGTGACGGGGACAATTTATTGAAGAATACAATTAGAAATTAAAAGTCTGTTGTCGAAGAACTGTAAAAATACTATTACATCACAGATATTAAAGTAAAAACTAGGATGCTATCATAAAACGATATTACTAAATAGAAGCATACAGTTTAGAAATGGGCTACATATAGTTTGCCAACAACTGAAGGTAGATCACCATGCTGGAGACCATGGGCAAGGCTTGTGAGATTTCATGGTGGAAAGTGATTCGGGTCTTAGACATCTACCGCCTTGATGAAGCTATGAGCACCGGTATAATGCTGAGAAACATAGACACAATTGTCAACGCGTGGTATACGCGTCGACTGGGGAATTAGCTCATGTTTAAGATGAAGTGTACGTACAATACGTTGACAAGACGAAGGAATGCGTTGAGCTCAAACTTCTTTAGTTACATAGACATAGAAGAGGTGAGCGGAGTACCTGCTCAACCCCAGGCATTATCCTGTTCGTGGTCGTTCCTACACAGACAGTCGGAATACAGGAGTCGTCCTCTGTTTTTCACTCTACATGTAGATGTGAGCATATATATACAGTTTTGGAGAACAATGGACAGGTGACGACTCAACAATAGACAGATAGAAAAACAATACCACTTCCTTGACCAGTTGATGTGATGGCAGACACGGCCAAGGGGGATGACCAATTAGGCCAAAAAATGCCATATACAATTATAATTAATGACAGTGACAGAGTGGTACAGGGTGGCTAACAAGACAATGTACACTGTGGTAGTGATAAGAATTAAGATTGCAGATTGAATAATTACAATTAAGTCTCACATGGCTTGGCTTCATAGTTTTTGGTCTTTAGAAATATTGGGACAATGCCTGTCCTGAATTAGTCACTATAACACAATATTCAGTGGCAGAACAGAGCCATGATGGGCATATTACGAGTACGCGGTGGCGCATCTCTGCTCAGCCAGAATCCAGCGACTTCGACGAGTGTACCCTTAACCCCTCAAGACCTGGCACCTATATCCATACAGTTTTCTCTAGTTGCTCGGTGTTTTGTAGTGTATTTAGCATAGATGCTATATTCTATTGGGTAAATGCATACTTTCACCACCATAACGCTTTATGTCTATTATCATCATACATCTCTCTGTCACTCCATCACGTTTCCAATTCACATTCTCCTTCTGAATCTCAAGGCAACACTGAGGTGTGTGTCTTACAGTGATAAGAAGGGCTCAGGAAATCATCATAAGTATACACGAAATTGACAATTATTCCCTATCGATATGCATGTCGACCTGTGGCGTAATATCCATCTTACATTGACCTAATGGTATCTAGAACAGGCAGGTGTACTTAAGTGTACTTCACATGTCACCTTTTTCATCTTACCAGATTACTGATCAACTGGAAGTAAATTCAACCTTAAAAATCAAAGCATATACAATGATGTATGACAGTACTTACACACGACTTTCACTCGGACTGCGCATGATCCAGTCCCTGTCCGGATTGACCATTATAATCTGTCATACTGTTTGTAGCTGTGCATATATACACACCACCGTCTGTCATTTGGACATCGTCGATTGTGAACTTGTCTCCGGTCATTAACGTCTTGTCTGATGCTTCCGTCGCCAACGTATGACACTGGGGGCCGGGAAGGCGTCTACAGAACACCTGAGGCTGACAGATGTGTTCTGGATGACAACGTACTCGTCCTGGCAAGAGAGCACCGGAGAATCTGCAGAGATTGTACTTTGAAGGTTCAGTGTTGTTGAAAAGAACAAACAAGCAGGCATGGTACCAATACACCAATAAAGTAGTGTCATCCATACTATTCATAAAAAATCAGGAACCAACGTATCCAAAATTTCCATAATGAGACACAAACCCACTTCTTATGTACGACAAATACTACATTTGGGAATACACTTTCTCTGTAAAGTACAGGTTTTAGTACATTTGGGGATGAGTCCACACTCTCAGTGTAATACACCCTAATCGCCACCACACAAAGTCAGGAATCTAACCCAGTCAGCCATCGAAGCACCCACTATTTATAAAGAACTTCATCCCCTACATACGGTAGTCACACAAAGGACATGAGTTGATGACGTACACAGAACATTAATCTCCATCAGCTGGACCCCGTGTCCCCGTCAGTCCACCAGAAGTCAGGTTCATGGAGTTTGTGACTGTGACGATATACTTTCCAGCATCAGATCTCCTGATGTTCGATATGATAGGGGGAGTGTTAGAGGACACCTCTCGCTCATCCACTTCCCTTCCATGTATAGACGTGTGGGTAGGTTTCAACCTGGAGGCAAACTCAGGATAACGCTGGTGCCCTCGAACATGTCCTTCGTACTTACCCACTTAGCAAAGGCGGTGGGGGATCTAAATGAATCTCGAAGTGTAGGGTGAGTGAGTTAAGATTTTAAATCCCATAGGCAATGTTTCAACCATATCGTGACTAAAAGCAAGTTAAAATTTCATAATAAATGAAGTAAATAATTAACCTGCCCACGTCACCAAGGGACGGTAAATAACTAGTTTATCACAATTTTCAGTTTAAAACCTAGTAATGAACTCTAGGCAACTTTTAGCTATATATGACAATACAAGATAAAAGAGGCTAAATTGTAGAAGGAGCAAATTCAGCACAAACTAAGGATTGAAAACGTGACACATCGGTAACAAACATATTATCCGATACAACTATGCAACTTATGCTTCACACGAAGAAACCTTTTCCTTATTCATAACCAATCTATTAATGCGGGTCGATTGCATGATTCCCTGGCTATAGTAAAGAAGTTGGTGTTGAGGAGTCACTATCAAACCTTATTGACACCAGGAAGTCAATATTGAGAATTGCACAGGACAATATTTTTTGTCACTTTCATGATGTCGGAGTTTTGAAATCTTCACGTGTGTACCAGAATGCTTTCCTTAGACCTTGACGGCTACAACCTCAGTCAAACAACGTGTGAGCAAGGAGTCATATTTGCTGCTAGCATTGTTTGGAAGACCTGTGGCTCATGTTTGAACAGAAGTTGTTTTGCATTAGATCCTTTCTACATTGCAATAGTGGAAACATGGTAAATAATATACCATATCAAATATAGAGAGAAACATAAATTATTTCTGTATAATATGTGAGTCATCACTCTGAGAGAACATTCACACGTTCGTTATACATGATCTGTCTGTCCCTGTTTTCCCTTCTTGTGCGTTCCATGGTGTTCACAGCTGTACACTGATACACCCCAGCATCAGTAGTAGCAGCACTTTGGACGTGGTATGTTCCCAGTTTTACGCCTTCTCTGCGCTTAATCACATTCACTTCGCATGAAGACTCTGGAATCCCACCCAAACGGCGTGTATTCCTTAGAGCTTAGTTCCTTGCACTTCTGTTCCTACCGAGTTTATGGATTATTATTAGATTGCATCCGGAAAATCGATCCCTCAAATCATCCTGTACGCACCTTCATCTGTGTCTTCAACCTTATTATCAACCTGAATGATCTCCATTTCACCAGATCAGACGAAGGTGGAATAATTGTTGTTGCAGGCTCGGGGAGATTGTTGAGGAGGCTGGAGATTAGATACCCTTGTCCACGTCACGCATCTCCTGCCATCATGGGGAGGGAGGGGACGCTGACGCACTGCATCGGAGGTCAAAGATGATTTGAAGCACACTTACATCTTTCTGACAGGAACACTTCAGGAGGATCTGAAACATGATACAGTAACTCTAGTACTATACAGTCTCCATGAACAACAGACTATACAAAAACCACCATGATTTAGTAATGAACCTGTCATCTGATCTGTTCGAAGGGAAATCTGATTTATTCTCTGTAATAAAACAACATAAAACAATTTGAATGATTACTCCTGTCCGAAGGGGTTGGCCGTTAAGCTATAAGGGTTCGATTTATATTTTATTGATTACTTTAGAGGAATATCCTCTCACTGTCCGCGCACCAGCTGTTGTCTGGGCATGAACAATGACATACTGGGGAATTCTGACCCACATTTCCGGTGTCCCTCAAGTTCACCCAATAGACCAAATATACTTACAAAGTACATTTAATGAAATAAGGTGCATCCCATGACCTTCCACTAGACCAGCTTGTGAATCATTCATTATATTTGTAGCTGTGAGTGACATAGAGTCAGCATCTGACCGACCAATGTTGGTTATGGCAGAATTGGATTCAAGGTCGTGGTAAGGGTTGGAGTCAAGACCTTCCCTTCACTCCACTTATACAGAAGGGGTAGGAGGATTAGGAGGCTGGGAAGAAGACGTTGAAGCAGAACTTTGCTTCAAACACTGTAATTATTCCAAGACATCAGCAGGTGTGAGATCATACTAAAAATACATTTTACAGTAATGTTACACGGAGTCTCATATCCTTAGAAAATGTTGTATTCTTTAAAAATTGGATACCAGTTTATGTCACCTCTGAATGGGTGATTACCAAAACAGTAATGTATTGTTTGTTTGCATTAGGAAGACGTTACAAAAAATACACATATGTTTTATTCATCTTTTTGGAACAAAATCATGGCATCAATATAACCTATGCGTTTGGCATAAAGATCTTGGCACGGAGATATCTCATATTGAAGGAAGGCTAAGCATACATTATAACAGATGGCATTGCAACAAAATAAGCAAATTCTATGTTAATATCAGTCAAACAATTATTGATGGCAAGTGGACCAGGAACCAAAAACAAATTTTGGTAAAATTACAAGAAGAGATGGCATATGTTCTCTCGATATTGTCAACTTACCCTATTTAAAATTCTGATGCTATCAGAACCTGGCGTTTATATATGTATATGTTATTCCGTATTTCCCAAAAGTAAATTTGACAGCTGTTATCAGGAGATTTAAGGACATTGTTCCTTTTTTCAGAAAATACAAATATGATTTTCTTAATGCTGATATATCGTTTCTTGTTCTTATCAGGTTGAAATTTGATTCCATATAATTCCTAGATACTGGACCGTGTAAAGAGATAGCGAAATCCGCTGCCTGAGGTGCAGTTTTACAAACTTAAGATATAACTTACATTGCTCTACATATCCCATCTTTAAACAAGATTAAGGTTTGTTATGCTTAAGAATTCCGATGCACTAATTTCAGATGATGACAATGTGCTGTTAATCACGAACGACGTAAAGCTCTTAACTCTAACAGGTGGAATTGAGTTTCAACTAACTGCTTTGATCATCATGTATACATAGCTGCGGATTATGTTTGCATATAGTGTGATCATTTAATCGAAAATGTTGACTGTATAGTTAAAGACAGAATATGCTGGATATATTCCATAATTATATCAGCATAATAGAGATTTTATGATTGATCGGAGTAATATTGCTACAACAATTACCGTGGAGGGACGCCATGTGGAAGGAATTTTGAACAATCACATACAAAAATAGGAAAAGAAGGAGAAGAGAAGATGAAGTTTGTTATTCAGTATTTGGGGCCACATGGCTAAAAGTACAAAACATATAAGAACAATATTATTGCGGACATGAGAAAAAAAACCAATGTAATTAGTTCATTTTCATACAGGGAAAAAGGGTTTTGTATAATAAAGATTTGATGGGCTATGTTTCCCCTATACACACGACGTCATATAGATTGTTTGAAATTACATGAATCAAAGCATACTGTAGTAAAACGGATTGCTTTTGATGCGCCTTTGGTGATGATATCCATGGTTCGGGTCCCAAATCCCGGGAGTCGGTGGGGTGGCCTACAGTGGTTAAAGAAGCGTTCGTGCCGAAGCCCGATTTCCCATGGTACAATGTTATTGGCATTTCACCGGTGTTCGGCCGTAATATTATTACTGTAATAATGCTAGAAGCGGCGTGGAAACCATACACCTGCACTCACCTCACTGATTCCCAGTATATCCGTACCCTACATACATACAGTCGAAGTGGTTCCGGGGTTTCCTCCGCTTAGCTACTTGAACATACTGAGGCAAGATTCAGAAGGCGATACGTCATATGGAGTTTAAGCCGGACTCTGGGATCCTCGCACATGTATTCCCACGGAGATGTTTGTAATGTTACTTCAATTGGTTCGTATGGTTAAGAAACAATGTTAAATTGAATTTTTGCTATCATAAGACAAACGAAACAGTGCTAAGAATTACATATACATGTGTGTCAACCCCAATGAGATGGGCCCTTACTTATTTTGGAGCATGGTTTAGCGAGAAGTCCACAGTGTTGACTTTCGATTCCATTATTACACTGACTACGACTGTAAGAGAGGTCCTAGACTGTATCCACTGCAAGCTCCTCGGATCTATTCTATTTGCCGTTTCTTGCGTGAGTTGCAACCCATTATCTCTGAACCGGGAGAGGCATTTTAAATTGATATCACTATACATATCATCAAACACACGTTAACTTTCGTACCAGTGAAATCTTAGTCTCTCACATTTGTATGAAGTTATAAAACTCAACGTAACATGTCATTCCGGAAGCACTCAAACTGATGACGAGGCAAGAAGAGTTTGACATATGATCTCCAACATGAAAATAGTTAGGTTTGATTTGCTTAATACTGATATTTAAAATATAGAACCGGCGACAAGCGGTAACATTCACGTTCCTTCACCGTACATGGACTTTCGTAGGTCTTCATGGCTAAAATTATTTACGAAAAAGTTGTGATAGCGTTTCTCATTGTTTCTCTGCATACACAAAATTGCATTTTAGAAAGTGAAATAAATGTAGCTTACATGTTATATTTGGAATTACACTTTCTCTGTGACAGTCTGAATTCTTGGCCGTTTATTGTTTGGTTATGAGTCCACGACAAACACACTCTCAGAGTCAGGCACCTATTAACAGGAACACATGTATGTTGTGAACGACAGTGGGGATTATATCCAGGTGTACAAAACATTGTTTGGAGGAAGTGCTCTTGCATCATATATAAGCAAAATGCAAAGAAGTGAAACGGATGACGTCATCATGTTGCTATTTTAGGTTGAATAGTCATCGATAAGATTTGTTTTCTGATTCCTACTTCATGTACATGCTTACACTTCCGTGCAGCATATGGCTTTAAATGGTTCATTTTGAAAGCACTGGCAAATTATTCGATGAAATGATTCAAATACTGAGTGACTGACTGACGCAGGTTTAGTTTTACCCGCTTTCTGTAATAAACGGCTATCATCGGCACGGGATACAGAAATGGAGCTACACACATTGCCACCCATGTGGGATTCGAGTTAGGGTCTTCGGCGGCACGAGTGAACGCTTTAACCATTAAGGCTGCATTTAACGCCCTGATTCCGATACAATAACATAGACTTTTTAGACAGGGATTCATTACAATGAAACGGTTATCATCAGAGACAGCACATCTCTGATGTGATTCTACAACTGTGTAATGGGTGAATTCACCGAGATCATTAGCAAGTGATTCAGATGTTGGTCAGTGGGATCCGGAGCTAACGCGCTTAGTCCAGGCACCTTAACCACTCTGCCACAGCGGCTTCCACTAAATTGAGGGAATTCCATGGACGCTTGGTAGTCCTAGATCCGCCGCTGTGTGCGCCCTGGCGGGGAGTGTATTGTACAACTGGGGATGGCTGGAAGAGTGGGTTGGGCAACTTGTTCAAATGCAACACATGCCAACTATGTAATGATAATGTGCAATCGCCGGCGGCTTCAGACGTTATCAAACATGGGAAAGACTACTGGTTAATATGCACGGAATCAGAGTGAATTACGCAGCTGCGTCTCTGTTGACATTCGTTATCAGAAGTGAGATCCGCAATCACATGTTTTGTAGATAAGCGTGGTCACTGTTGGGACGAACAACGGTTATTATGACTGGACAGCTTCGTTCGCTCGCGCCCAAGATATATGACTGAATAACCCACGACAAGACCTTATAATCGACGACTAACTCCGACGCTGAGAGAAGAATATCTTACAACACCCCAGCTTTTTGTAGGAACTGAACGACATACATTCCGCTGGAATGTTTCTCAAACGTACTATAGGTCGTTGTTCATAATGTTAACCTCTTGTTTACATGGCGTTGCATCATGCCACCGCTGGTATACTTTCGAGTTGAAGGTGAACGCCAACTTAACGGTTATCTCGGTTATATCACGGCCTGCGAGGTGTCTGATAGCAGGATGAAAGGTTGCGGTTACTTTTAAGAGGTTGAAGCTGCTGCGGCAGCTATGACTCCCCGTTCATCGCAGATAATACCCTAAAGAATCATCAACCAATGCCATAAAGTGATTACATTGGGCAAAAGGCGCTTATATTTACTCCACGGGATTTCAGTCTAAGTGGTATGTCTCCGCTGCATCCGCAGAAACAAATTTAGTAGATTCGATTTTGCTATCAGCGGTTGTATTGATTGGAGCTTAAATTACGTTCAAGAAAAATAATATTATTCACATCAAATGACGGAGTTTCTCATTCGCGAAAGAGCGCAGTCTTACTTGCACTACTTCGGTACGCTTTTTCATCAATGAAAAGTCGAAATTCGGTAACGATTGTTTGAGACCACGTGTGTTATCTGTAGAAAACGCATTTGTATAATCACCGGATGGCGTCATGTGACGATAAATGAATACCAGAGCTGTGTTTATATGCTTGGCATTGCCAAATGCGTAACAGCTACTCAACGCAACCACGTTGGCAAGGAACGCTGTAATATAACTGCTCTTACCATAAACTTGCACCTGTTTTCTACCACCGATTTCCAGTTATATTTAAGAAAATCAGAACATATTTCTATACACATGATGAGGCACTTTCGCCTTGGAATCTCCTCTTCATGCAGATGACCGAACTACCGCCAGGACGACAACGAACACCACCGCCGATGATGAAGAAGATGTTATGAAATTGAAGGGGATGATGGCTTTTGGAAGTTATGATATGGACATCCAACTGTATCACGTATATTTAGAATTTGTAAAATGCGGACATCAGTATCTCTCTCACAATGTCCAAATTGATGGCCGGAAATGGGGTTGATAGGTGCAATGCAAAGTCTTTTGTCTCCCACAACAAGTATGAATCATATACAGAAACCCAGTCAGTCCTTAAAGGACGTTATAGTCTAGCCCTGTTTCCAGGTAGAGCTGAGAATGTATGCCGCTTGAAAGAGCATTTCCCGGTTTTATCAAGGCTTTTAATCATCGGCATTTCCAGTTTTATCAGGGCTTTGTGAGTGAGTAATTGAGGCAGGTAAGGTGGGTAGGTGGTGAATTGAGTGGAGTGGGTAGAAGGTGGAGTGAGTGAGTGAGTGGGTGGTAGGTAGGTGGAGTGGCAGGTGAGTGAGTGAGTGGTGAGAGCTGTGGTGAGGTGAGTGAGGAGAGTGAGTGAGGTGAGTGAGTGAGTGAGTGAGTGAAGGTGGTGAGTGAGTGAGTGAGTGAGTGAGTAGGTGAGGTACGAGTGAGTGAGTGAGTAGGTGAGGTGAGGTGGGTGAGTGAGTGATGATGGCGTATAAACGATATTAATGGGCAATAAGAAGAATACAGTTTAGAAGCGGGCTACATATAGTTTGCCCAACAACTGAAGGTAGATCCGCAAATGCTGGAAGACCATGGGCAAAAGCGTGGCCCGAGATTTCATGGTGGAAAGTGATTCAGGTCATAGACGATCTACCATATGAGTGAAGCTATGAGCACCAGGTATGATGCTGAGAAAACATAGACTTCACAAATGTCAACGCGTGGTATGTACGCATCGACTGGGATAGCTGCATATTTGCAGGATGAAGTGTATACTGACCTGACCGATTGATACCGGGCGAAGAGATACGTTGGAAACGAAACTTGTTTTAGTTACACCAACAAACATATACACGACATAAATAAGGTGATGACGGAGTTCCGCACTCAACCCCAGGGCGTTTCCTACAGGCGCGTTTGTACGACAATGTGCCTGGTAGTGATGCAGGAGAATTAAGATTGCAGATTGAATAATAATTACAATTAAGTCTGGAATTAGTCACTATAACCTACAATATTCAGTGGTATGGGAGGGGCCAGGATGGCGCATCTCTGCTAAACCGGAAATCAAGCAGCTTCGACGATTGTACCCTTAACCCCTCAGACCCAAGCGCCTATGTCCATACGCTTTTCTCTAGTTGCTCGGGTATGTTTTGTAATGTATTATTTCGCATAGGTGCTATATTTATGCATTCTATTGGGTAAATGCATGCTTTCACCATAACGCTTTATGTCTATTGCCATCATACATCTCGTACTGTCACTCCATCACCTTTCCAATGGATATTCTCATACCGAATCTGAAGGCGGCGCTGGGTGTGTCTTACGAGTGATAAAGAGGATACTTCGAAATCATCATAAGTATACACGAAATTGACAATTAGTCGCCATCGATATGCATCTAGATCTGTGGCGTAATATCCATCTTACATTGACATAATGGGCATTCTAGAACGGATTGCAGGTGTATGTACTTCCTTCATATGTCACTTTTTCATCTTACCAGATTACGGATCAGCGGAAGTAAATTCAACCTTAAAATCGAAGCATATACAATGATGTTACATGAGCTTACACGCGACTTTCACTCGGACTGCACATGATCAGTCCCTGTATCCGGATGTGACCATTACTTATAATCTGTCATACTGTTTGGCACTGTGCATATATACACACCACCATCTTGTCTCGTTTTAGGACATCGTCGTCGATTACTGAACTTGTCTCCGGTCATTAACGTCTTGTCTGATGCTTCCCGTCGCCATAGCGGCATGCCACTGGGGGCCAGGAAGGCGTCTAGACAGTACCGGGCTGACGAATGTGTTTCTGGATGACAACATCAATCGTCCTGTGCAAGAACTTAGCGCCAGGAGAGTCTGCAGAAGTTGGCACTGAAGGTTGAGTGTTGATGAAAGAGCAAACAAACAGCATGGTACCAATACGCAATAAAGTAAGTGTCATCCGTACTATTCATAAAAATCAAAGGAACCAAACGTATCCAGGGATGCATAATGAGACACAAACCACTTCTTATGTGCGACTAAATGCTACATTTTGGGAATACACTTTCTCCTATGAAATTACGAGATTTTAGTACATGTGGGGATGGGTCGTTACTCTCATTATATTACATCTAATCGCCACCACACAAAGTCAATAATCTAACCCAGTCAGCCATCAGAAGCACCCACTATTCATAAAGGGCCGATTAAAGGGATATCAACTTCATCCCTACATGTTGAATTACACAAGGGGATGAGGAGTTGATGACGTACATAGAACATTAATCTGCACCAGCTGGACCCCGTGTCCCTCCGTCAGTCCACCAGAAGTCAGGTTCATGGTGGTACGTGACTGGCAGACGATATACTTCCAGCATCAGATCTCCCTGATGTTCGATATGTATGATAGGAGGAGTGTTAGGACACCCCTCTCGCTCATCTACTTCCCTCTTCCATGTATGAACGTGTGGGGGAGGGTTTGAACCTGGAGGCAAACTCAGGATAACGCTGGTGCCCTCGAGCATGTCCTTTGTACCCCTCCAGCAAAGGCGGCGGGGGATCCTAAATGGATCAGAGATGTGAGGGAGTGAGTGAGGTTCAGATCTTAAGAGATCACATGGGCAATGTTTCAGCCATATCGTGACTAAAAGCAGTTATAATTTCATAATAAATAAAGGTGAATGATAGAATACAATCACCAAGGTACGAGTAAAATAACTGGTTTATCACAGATTTCGGTTTTAAAACTAGTAAATGAACTCCTAAAACCTTAACTAGCTACGCGCTATGACAATGCAAGATAAAGGCTAAAGTGTAAGAAGAGACTCATTCATATTATCCGATGCAACGCAACCCATGCTTCACACGAAGAAACCTTTTTCCTTATTCATAACCAAATATACTTAATGCGGGTCGGTGCATGATTCCGGCTATAGCAAAGTTGGTGGAAACGAGAGTCACTATCAAACCTTGATGACACCAAGGAAGTCAATATTGAGAATTGCACAGGACAACGGGTATTTTTTGTCCATGATGTGGAGTTTTGAGAATGCTTCACATTATTGGCGCCAAGATGCTCATGACGCCGATGGCGGCACAACCTCAGTCAAGTAACGTGTGAGCAAGAGTCATATTTGCTGCTGGCATTGTTTGGAAGACCGAAGACCGCTCATGTTTGGAACGAAGTTGTTTGCATTGATCATTTTCTACATTGCAATGATGGAAACATGATGAAATAGTATACCATATCAAATATAGAAACATAAATTATTTCTGTATAATATGTGAGGTCATCACTCTGAGAGAACATTCCATTCTAGTTATACATGATCCCTGTCCTGTTCCGCATGCTTCCTGTGCGTTCCATGGTGTTCCTGGCTGTACGCACTATTTTACCCCAACATCAGTAGTGGCAACACTTTGGACGCGTGGTATGTTCCAGTTTTTACGCCCTCTCTGCACTCCTCCACATTCCACTTCACATGTAGACTCCTGGAATCCCACCCAGACGTGATGGCATTACATATAGAGCTTGGATTCGTTTACTTCTGTTCCTGAGTTTATGGATGTGATAGATTGCATCAGAAAATCGTCCTCAAATCATCCCCTGTACCTTCATCTGTGTCTTCAGCCTTTACATCAAACTGAATGATCTCCATTTCACCAGATCAAAGACAGGGTGGAATATATTTGGTATTATTGCAGGCTCGGGAGAGGTGTTGGGGCTAAGGGCCGTATATATGTCCACGTCCGATCATCCAGCAGGAGGAGGGACCTTTGGCACTGCGCATCATCAGATCAAAAGATGGTTTACGAGAAGCACACTTACATCTTTCCTGACAGAACGCTTCAAGGAGGGATCTGAAACATGATACAGCAACTCTACTACAAGTCTCCAACGAAGTATATACAAAAACCACCATGATTTAGTAAAGAATATGCCATCTAATGAAATCTGTTCGATGGGAAATCATGATTTATTCTCTGTAATAAAACAACATAAAACAATTTGAATGACTCCACCATCCCGAAGGGGTTGGCATTAAAGAGGTATAAGAGTTCGATTTTTTATTTGTTGAAGTTACTTTAGAGGAGGAATATCCATGCTATTATTTGAATGAACGCCGTACATATTTCTCCAAAACTTAAACACTGCTTCATCCGCCTACGACCAGCTGTTGTCTAGGCATGAACAATGACATGCAGGGGAATTCTGACCCACATTTCAGGTGTCCATCAAATTCACCTAACAGACCCGATATACTTACAAAAGTACATTTAATGAAATAAGGTGCATCCATGTCATGTCCTTCCCACTAGACCAACGTGAGATGCATTACCGTTATATTTAGCGCCGCTGTGATGACATAGAGTCCCAGGCATCAGACCGCGTAACTGCTTGTTATAGCAGGTGGATTCAAGGTCGTAGTAGAAGTTAGAGTCAGACCTTCCTTCCTCCACTTATACAGAAAGGTGGAGGGATTGGGGAAGAACAGGAAGGAGACGTTGGCAGAACTTGCTTCAAACACAGTAATTGTTTCCAGAACATCAGAGGGCGGAGGGGTCTATAATACATTATTGTACGAGTAATGTTACACGGAGTCTCATATCGCGTAAACAAAATGTTGTATTCTTTTAAAACGGGATATAATTCCTCCCTGAATGGGCGCTTACAAAGAAACAGTAATGTATTGTTTTGTTTGAATTAGGAAGACGCACTGGAATACACATATGTCTTTTAAGGCGATCATTTTAGGTACAAAATCATGGCATCAGTACTAACCTATGCGTTTGTATATAAAAGATCTTTGCGATATCTCATATTGACAGGCATATTATAGCATAGATGGCATTGCCTTAAAATAAACAGAAGTTCTATATTAATATCGATCAAACAATTATTGATGGCAATCAGACCAGAATCCAAAAAAAAGAATTGGTAAAATTACAAGAAGAGATGGCATGTATTCTCTCGATATTGTCAACTTTTACCTATTTCCTTTCCTGATCATATCGGGAAACCTGGCGCACATGTATATATTCGTATTTTAAAGAGTCAGATTTACGACAACTGTTATCAGGAGATTAAGGACATCGTTCCTTTTTCAGAAAATACGATATGCTGTTCTTAATGTAGTATAATTCCTTTGTTCTTATCCGGTTGAGAATTTGCTTCCATATAATTCGATAATATCGGACCATTAACCAAGAGATATAAAATCCACTTTCTGGTCTCTACTTATCCCTTCTAACACAAGATTATGTTTGTTAGCGGGTTCGATGCACTAAAGAATAGTGGAACCACCTAAAGTCTAAGATTTGTATGAAGCTCGACATATTATCCTTTCCTTTACGGATTTCCATTCCTTTTCATCTAGATATCCCGTTCAACGTTCATTTTCCAGTTTCCGTTTTATAGCTATATATAGCGGTGTCTAAAACTGGAATAAGTATATCATAATATGTCTTATCAATGTTTACGTAAAATCATTTTACAAATGGTGACATGCCCATTTGCAGCGTAGGGGAGGGTACATATCCAGGAGAACTTGGTCATCATATCATAAACATTGCGATAAAATATTTTTGTCCTGAACAACTTTTTTGTTTTCAAAAGGACGTATAAGAGCCCCATAATGCTAAAAGAACGTCTTTTCAAAAGCATGGTTTTCATATTCATAACTTTGTTTTTATAAGCGTTTCCCACTTTAGGAGGATATCTTGTATGTTTTGTGACACACTGAAAGGAAGCGATAGTAGATACTTTTGCGATGAACGCCAAAGCATTCTCTTAAACCAAGCAAGGACTTTAGCATTGATAGTTTATTTTTATGTCCAGGCATTCTAAAACCACTCTCCGCCTGAATTTTTGTTTTATGATATACGTTTAATCTTAGCTATCAGGTTTGTCATGGAGTTTTCGAAGGTCATTCATAGTAATGTCATTTGGTTGGTCAGGTAGGGCGAAATGGAATTGGTGGTTTACCGATAGCAGCAGAATGGGATTTTTAGGATAGCAATCCAAAACCAAAAGGGACGTAAAGGTTTCTGAGCCTATCTATATTTGCATTTGTCTCTTTATTTTTTGAGTTTGATCTTTATAGTTCCTTTCAACCATCTCCAGCTAGGTTTAGAGAGAATACAATACCCGAGAATAGGCTAAAGAATCCAGCTTGAGACCGAAGTTAAGTTTCCACTTTTACATAAGAATGTTGTTTTGATCCTCTAATTGATGCTATCAAATAATTCTTGTTTTCTTACATTTTATTCTCAGACCAGAAAGAGGAGGCCGGAAATCGATTCAATGTTTGCAAGGCATTTTGTGGACACTTTTCATTACCACCTAAATATGGGATGTATCATCTGAAACTTTGGAAACTAGATGTTCTGTATTTCTAATTGTTGCACCTTGCTATCTTTACAATTATGCCCCTACACCTGATTTGTTCTGTAGTTCCTGCAATAATGAGTATCACGAGGAGACAAGATCGTATTGGTTGATTTTCCCAAGGTGGTAATATCAATTAGATAATGCATTATTTTAGAAATTATATCAGAAAGTTCGCAGGGATATGTTATTGCTGTGAAGGTGAGAATATTTATAAAAATGTATACAGAATTTCCCAAAGGTTTAGCACCACTAAAGCTTCATACACAATATCTCCTAAGCATTGGTACGCACAAGATCCATTTCCTGTTTTCACGTTCCTATTTCTTACAGTGCTGACATAGTGTTTGGGAACATGAAGATCGTAGGCATACACCATCACCTTGGATAGGCATTTAATATCTTCAGACCAGGAAATGTTTTTCATGCGCTGGTATCATATTAGATCATACCACGTGACCAGGGTGTGGAACGTGGGAGATAAACTTAGCATCGTACTGTATACAGCTGTGCATCTGTTGCCTTGGATGAAATATTATTCGTTTTGGCAAGAGACGTCAGGTTGGTCACAACAAAATACACGTCCATACATAACTGTTGTGTCTTCAGGTGACCAACAGTCAATTCCAAATTGAAACAGTTTGACACTCCACCGAGCTTATTTTGAAGGGAAAGAGGCCGCGCGAATATGACGCTAGAAGCTAGCCATTTGTTTACGTTACGGGTATTCCATCACGATACAAGATGAATGGGTAGGTAAGGTACGATATGTGGTTTTATAAATCAACTTTTAACAATATTCCAACACTATCAAGGCGGTGAACTTTTGAAATGAGCTTCCCATAATTGTGCACTGTTGGGTGCGGCTGGAATGAAGTCGACAACTGATTATCCTCTGTGGGATTTTTAAGCTTAAATTAGAGTTGTGATGCCCTTTCATATTATTTTACAAACGATGCTGTAAATGTGCCGTGGAAATCTACATGAACTAGTTGCCTGGCCGCCGAGGAGATGACCGAACGGTACTGCCGATGGTGTTGTTGGTCACTTCAGTGACATAAAATCCAGCAACATAAGATTCTGATGTCAGGAGACTGTGGTGGGATGTTGGATGATGAGAACTCCTAGGGACTCATTATTTCTTCCACATAAACAGGATGGCAGCACGTATATACTCTTTTCGCGCAGGCAGATTAAGATATTTGGTACGCATCGTTTCATAGGGAAGGGACGCAAAGCGTTTCTCTGAAACCTTGAGACTTGTTCCTCACAAACGCAGTATCTTGTACCCCTCAATACGCAGATATTTGGTCCACTTCTACCAAAATTCAGGGAACGATGGTTATTCATGACAGTCAAGCATGTGTTCGGCTTACTGGGAAAGGCACAGGAGGGGTATTTCTGTGGGATAAAACCTTGTTTGCTCGTTGCCACAGTTCCAATTAGCCAAGGTGCAATGTGTATTCGGTGGTGATCACTCAGTTCTGAACCAACTGTACGGAATAATACTGAAATTTACAACATTCCAACTAAATCCATCCACGACTAACAAACCAAAATACTGGCACAGCATCCGGTAGAGCGAGATGCCCTGCCCAATTCATTGTCACCCGATCGGACACCACACTCAGGTTCCTTAGCCATTTATCGAGTGTTGACCGGGGACTTTTGGTGAATGTGGAGGATGTTCCGCAGTAGTGCCACAACTATCCGTGTATACGAAGGGCGAGGTCGGTAAAGCGTCTTCACGTTACAGGTGACAGTCTGACTAGTTCCAGCCAACACCCCGGACTGTGTCCACACTCAACTGATACACTTGTTATAGAACGAAAATGCTGTGAGGGAATATTAAGCTTTTGTTATAAAAATCCGGAAACAACCTCTGCCCGCCAGCCCAACATGTTTCATTGGCATCCCAAAGGTAGATTTCAAATAGCTTTGTTGGTGTAGCCAAAGTTTCATTATAATAACATAGGCACTCCTGGTTATGTCTCCGCAAAGCCAGGTTTTGAAAGGGATAGTTTGAAGTGTTACTTGTTCAGAGATGGAGTAGGTGAGATAATTTGGATTTTTACCGCTTCGCCATACTCAGCAACATCTAGCCTCTGGCGGCGGTCTGTAGCAAATAATCGAGTCTGGACCAAGACAATCCAGTGATCAACAGCATGAGCATCGATCTGCGCAATTCAGGAACCGATGACGTAATGTCAACAAGTCAGCTTGAAACTGAGCCACCCGATCCCGTTAATTACGCCTCTTACGAACTGAAGCATAGTAGCCTTTATAGCGACACATGGGTTGCTGAAGACCCTATTCTACCCCGAGATCTTCATGGGTCTGTTCAGAGATGGAACATTCATCCAGACGTTTTACATAGGTTAGCACATGTAGTTGCCGTACACGTAAGGATATACCAAATAAATAGGTAATGTCGAGTTTCGATTTCCCTGTTGCGCATTATTGTTAAGAGGGTGGCTAAAGATGGAACCTGTTTGTGCGATTTTTTAATTTGTTTGCTTTGTATTGCATTAACCTGTCTCTTAACAGTCTACAATCCCAAATACACTTCCTCACAAACGTTCCATGTTACATCGAATATATAATATTTTCCTGCTATACTCCTCTCACGCACTGACAAAATGATTTCATATATCAAATTTAGCAATCCCGACATGACATGGTAGCGAGGTGGTGTTCACCAATGGAGTTACTTACTTGAGCGCAAAAGATCCCTACATCCTTGTCATTGATTGCGGTTATTATTTTATGTCGACCTTGGACATGAGTCAATGATGCTTCACTGCCAGTACACTGGAGCTCATCCACCCATATTTCCCCACTACCACTTCCGAAGAAAAGGACATTTAACAACGGCAGGCATAGTTCCTGAAACATAGCTGCTTATATAATAATTGGAAAGTCGGCACACCATAGATACCGTGCTACAGCATCACACACCACATAGCTTGAAGTCATAAATGGTAGAAGAAGGTCATTAGAATAAAGAGGATACGTCACGGGACCATCCGCTTCATCCGCCGGAGGAACGTCAGTAAACCATTTGTTCTTCGGTAGAAAGGTTATTTACACCCCAAACACATTCACCCCAAGTTACAGATTTACAGTAGGCTATTATGAATTTATAAATAAAATAAATGAAGCCTTGCATAATAATTATCTACTATAAAATTGTTTTACCAGCTTATTTTTATTCATCTACCAGGTATAGGGTCGAAACAGCATATTACGATTTCTGGAATTGTTGTATCCAGTTCATATTGGCTGCAGTAGTATTGGGATAGGGGTGAAGTCCTTCGCGTAATGTGACGATAGCAGAAACTGCAACGGACAGGGATATGAACTTGCGGAGAGTTCCATATGCATTAATACTGATATCCAGAGGTTAAGAAGCTTCTCGTGGATCTTGCTAATGAATATCTGCTTATTGTCTCTTGAAGAAGACCATTGTAGACCAGGCGCAATTGGGTTTTCACTTGATCAGCCTCACTTCTCAAAATTGGAACAGAGAACATAATATGGCAATCCTGGATTAGATGAGATATAAGCTTCAGTCCCATGTACCCATCACACAGTAGCAGTTAAAAACATTGCCTAATTAGGATTGGCAGGTGGTGAATTTAAGCATTAATACAATTTTCCATGTATACTCAATTTGTTGGGGTGAAACAACAGTTACTTTCTTGATTAGGGGTGAAACAACCAACAATGTGGGGATGAATTGACCTGGATTTGGAATTGGGATGGAACAACCTGAATTGGAAACTACCCGGGTTGAAACTGGGGGTGAAACGACCCGGAGACCTCCTAGACCATCACTAAAATCGATCAGGAAGGAATTTGCATCAGTACAGAATCGGTCACCACATCCAGAATGAGACTGCCTCCGTTGGTGTAATTGAGTTAAGAGCGTCTGCCCAGGAGAGCGGAAGAGTCAGAGAGTTCGATCCCCAGCCGCGCGTCATACCATAAAGACGTTAAATATGGCGCTTGTTTGATCACACTGCCTGCAGACCGGCATAAATGCGATTTTAACAAGGACTGGTCGAACTCCGAGTCAGTATAATGTGATAAGTGGGATTATTCATGCTTCGTTGCTGGCATGAGTATCTTAGTGGAGCTAGCACTATAAAACCAGCTTCCAGTCTTGGCTAGTACAAACAGCCGCTTTTATACCTACACCCGCATGCACGATAGTCATATGAGCGAAATATTCCAAACGCGACGATTAAGCCCGATTTCACCTCCTCTCACCTCTCACCTCACATCAGGACAATATGCATAATATTATTGATAACGATATCGAATGTAACGGACCACATCACTATGTGGCTGAAATGCTGAACTTACGTAAACGTACACTCATTCACACATTTGACGCTTCAATCTGGGGGACAATGGGGTAAGCCAAAGTGGTGATAGTGTTCTCTCGTCACGCCGAACCCAGCTCGATTCACTCCTCACTCACTTTAATCTGGGGAAAAACGGATGTTAAGCATACTCTTTCAACGCATGACACTCCCGTGGACAAACATGGATTTAATCGCGAGGTCAACTCTACAGCGACCTGCCTGGCGTACCACTGGATGAAGCAATTAACCAGATGGTATGGATGTTGGTTCATAATAGACATGTGAATTACATGTAATACTATTTGCAGGTTATACGTTATATATTTATGATATTGCCGAGTACGGCGTCGCGAGCAAACAAAGCAAACAAACATATTACTCACGTGGGTAGATTTGAGAGTCCCCTGCAGGCTGTTTTGGCGTGGTTTCCGTCAAAGCTTGTCTCTACCTACACGGTGCACCAACTCTACACGAACGCCTCGAGGACGCATTATCCGGCTGACGGTGATATAGGGCAGAAGGGTGAGCAGGTCTATACCTCCACTTCATTGACTATTGGTACTGTGAGCCAAGATATCAAAGCGTGGGGCTTAAAATGTACACCAGAAATAAATTATTTCATTTCATTAATTCGGAAAGCGTGGTTAATTGTTCCGGAACTAAATTGAAAACATAAACAGCAAGATGACGTTGTTGAATGGAATCAATCGCGATGACTTGGATCGTTTTAACCGGAAAGGTAAAAATGGTTTTATAGTAAAGTTGAATTACGAACTTAAAGGATTTTACTTAGTGGTCAATAACATTCGATAAATGGGTTTTGGCAGTTTCATGCTGCCTGCCTTCATCGGGGCGTGGGTACAACAGATGACCTCCACTCATTGTAACTTGTAGGAAGAGAACCCGGCCTTGACAAGCGAGCTATGAAAACCGCCAGTTGGTTTCACCCGCGATATACTTCGTCAAGTGTCATACCATTTTATACATATGAGCTGGAATCGGAATGCTTTAATTCATTAAATTCCAGGCTTTGCATCCAATGCATTATTAATGTGCTACATTCTATAGGACTCCAAGATACCAGAGACGCAGTCCACGCGTCCTCGCCATGGCCACCAGTTATGCGATCTCAATATGCATGAACCGGGAGAACAAGCAAGGTCATCCATCGCATGATAGCGCAGATCCTTGCCCGTAAAGTGACGCAAGCCTGACACTTGATTACAAGAACGACCAATCATCATCATGTTGCAAATTGTTCACCACCGTATGTTTTACAGATTAAAGATGAAAATGCAGCAGAGAGGGTTCGGGTGATCCTGGCACAGTCAGGCTGGTAAGAGGCTCGTCATCAGCTCAGGGCCCTTGCCCTCTCTACACACCCAGCCCAGACAGCAGATGGGACTTCTCCAGGAAACTGCGTGCCTAGTCAGACCCGCAGGAAAAACCAGGAGAATATAGAAGACTTCAACTCTGCGGCCACCTCTGCATTGCAGAGTGTTGAAGGGCTGTGCTCTCGATGGAGAACCCGGGCACTCTCCTGATCTGCGCGCCAAAGGGGAACCAGGAGATTGCGCAAGCTCAAGAGCACCGGGAACAATGTGGGGAACCTGACGACCGTGTGCCCGGGATGCAAGCGAGACATTTCAAAGGCAGGGTCGCATATTTATCATGCTTTTCCTGGATACTTGCCAATCACGTGACAGTGCGTAAAGGTTGAAGACTGGCGATATAAATGAATTCATTAGCTTTATCAAAAAGCACAAGGTCAGGTGGCCGGTTCGTGAGGCTATTATATGCTGGGCTGACTATTCCACTGCAGAAGTTTGAAAGTATCATTTTCCATGACACCCTGGACGTATTCAGGGTCGTACCATGGATGGACCTCAGAATCGAAGCCAGAGGCATGGCGAAGACGGTAATAAAACGACGAGCCATGCCATGTATCGCAAGATATGCTGTTTGTGCCAAAGGAAGGGCATCCACTGGCAAAGGTGGACAATCTCTGTATATTTACCATTACACAGTTGGCATTTCATGTATTTCCTTTAGAATCACATTAAGGCGATTGCAGGTGGGAAGTGACTGGTCCTGACCAACAAAGGAAGCCCTCAGTTTCACATTTGAGACCAGGTGAGGCACCATCCAGGCGGAGGAGTCGATTAGGATAATATTCTATTCCACACCATGTACAATCGACGCAATGGCGGCTTCTCAGAAGCTTCTCCGCAAAAGACCGACTCAGACGGAACTTGGTGAAGGACTTCACCTGGTCCACTCCATTGCTGTACCAAACCAGCAGTATATCGCCATCAACATAATCAACTCAAATTTCCGGTTCTGTCCAACAACCTTGGCACGCTTAAAATAGCTGTGGAATAGAATTGCTTCACCATGGAGTCTTGACATGCCATTACCAGAGGATCGTCAGTAAATAAATATGTGCAAAGGCACAATACAATTCTATCGCTTGGAAGGAACCTCCACATTAATCTTCGACTTTAAACCTCCAGAATTGATTGGCATGTATAGAAAAGGTTAAGAGGAACGAGGTGAGTGGAGAAACCTGTTATCAGACGCGTCCTTCTGGTCAGACGGTGGGAACTCTGGATGTCTTGTTTTGTCCAATTACCAACTCCAACAAAGAAACAAAGTTTGTGTATTATTATTATCGACTACTGTTATGAAATATTTGCATGGGTGAATATTGACACACACGGATTTTCAAAAGAGATATTCTAGAATTTGACTTGATGTCACAACTTGATTACATTTAAAATTACAATGTACAATTGCAAAAAATTATCTGCATTACACACATACCTTGGCTTAATATACAATGCTCGTCCGATTCCTTAAGGTACATTACGCGTTAGAGGCCAAATGCTCTACTGAACGGCATCATTCCTTATCAAACCCATCATACAGACTGTACTTGTTGCGTGTACTCTATGGTAGATCTCGGAAGGCGACCAGCGTAGGTTCCTGGGTACAAGTCAGCGAATCAGGCAGGGTCGGCTACAGTCAAAACAAATACATCCGCTAATATATGGGTATTCTTCATGTGATTCTTTCAAAGATTTCCTGCGTCTCCTCCCCATTTGGGAATACGGGTTATATTTGACCAAATCGGGTGAATTGGATATATGGGATTATGTACTATCGTAACCGTCGTGCAGTGGTGTTCATGATATCAATCACTGGTTTGTAGTCATTAACAGGCAGCTCATCACGGTGGTGAACTGGCAAAGCAGGCGAATCCTAGCAGGTCCCTACTTTTCGCAGACGAGCCCATCAAATAATCAGACAATCCGGTAACAGCATGGGTATCGATCTGCGCAATTGGGAACCGATGACATGTCAGCCAAGTCAGCGAGTCTGGCAGCCCGATCCCGTTAGTCGCCTCGACGACAGCATAGTGGCCTTTGCGGCATGCATGGGTTGCTGAAGACCTATTCTACCCCGGATCTTTACGGGTCCATTGCAATCCAGGAATCGCCACGGTAGGGAACAATAATTTCTTGGACGTGGTTTCTATATAGAGCAATCCTATATTCCGGAAACCGGTTAAAGAAAGAGCCGAATTTTACGGAAAATTTCAAATTGTTTGATTCACAAATCCAACGATTATGCTTTATGGGTGGGTTTTGAAATTTGGGATTTCAGCATCATAATGAATGTCGAAGACAACCTACACCTTTTAGCATGTAAAGATCTTCGAATATAGCGCAAGCAAACTTTTAACCATGGTTTATGGAGAATGCGGTAGATATCGATATATATAAATTCTGAATCAGATGGTTAAAATATTGGTTAAATCCTTGAGATACGAACGGAATTCCAAAACTAGCTTATAGCATGCTTGTACATTTAGATGATAGGAATTAAAGTCCAACATGGGCGTCTCATATTAGAATCTGTATTTTCTCGTAATGATGACAGGGTTTGTGGCTAAATCAAACAATTTAGTAATATTAACCTATTTCTTAAGCAATTTCAAGAACAATCTATTGTATTATCAAGATGGCATTCCTGCATGAACAATAGTTCAAGAATATCAGTTGTATAGATCATATAAGAGCTTAATTCACAGAACTATAGTCCGTTTAGATTTCATTTGAGACCAGTGCATTAACCATAACACCTTGAAATCATAGCACAACAGAACAGAAATTTAGCACAGTCATTTATGAAATCAGCAGATACGCTCGTGATTTGTCTCATAATTTGGAAACCAGGTAGAAAAGTTGTTAAACAAACTGATCATAATAATAATTATCTGTTAAAATCTTCAACTGCCTTTGTTTTCATTCTATCCTCAAAATGAAAATGTAAAACGTAATCCAGCACATGTAAAACGATTCTGTTATCAAAGCTTAGAGAGCAATATCTTACCCTGAACAGTAATTCCTTTTTGTGAAATGTAACGTATATATCCTTGTATTGCTTGTATATGGGCCGGAGGCTTGTTACAATAAATATCTTTTGACTTTGACAGTTACGAAGTTGAATATATGGCTAAGCGACTTTAACCAGATTGTTCTTTGAAGTGATGGGATAACAACCTCGTTCAATTGCGACACATGCGTGCGTGCAAGTGTGTGTCGTGTTGCATTACCAGTACACCCGCGAAGATGGATGCGCACACACTCGGACACTGTACACTGGCCCCAGCAGACACAGCGACCAGGGTACCAACAGAAGCTGCTCTTTAGCCTGTCTTTAGCGTGAAAGGCATCAGACCACCGACCTTTCGCTCTTTTCTCTTTGTCCCGCTAGACTACAAAGATGAAGACCATTTTTAATTAACGTTAATACGGCCGGCTTTTCGATTATATCGACCTCTTCCTATCACCGGCCTTCCCGCTCTTTGTTTTCCCGCTTGTCCACTGGACTACAGAGATGGTCATTTTTAATTAACGTTAAACTGGCCGATCTTTGATTATATCTTCTCTTCACTATCCTGCTAGGTTGCTCTGATACAGACGCGCCATCCGAGGAAGTACCTGCTGTAGAGGAAGGTTATATAATAACCTTCTGCTTTATGGGTAACATTATTCACGCTGGTCTATAGACGGTACATCATTCCCATACAGTGATGTATCTAGTGATTCCATGATACATCACAGCTTGATCATGACTGCCTATATTGCAATAGTGAATCCGCGACCTGTACTTATCGATTCTGCGAGGAGGTGGGATCAACGGATAAAGATCATTTTCATATCGTGTTTTGCTCGTTCTGCTATTGTTTTTGTATTGCTCTAGATGATTGAATATCAATTTCAAGCCAGATGTATTGCACTTTTGTATGCGTATACAAATTACCGCTGATTAGGTTATGTACATGGATTTCGAATTTTGTGAATTGCCAGGTAAAATGCTTGCGGCATTGCTTGGAGTATTATTGCAGAGTATGTGAATTTCACCTGCATATATTGATCTTTATCATCACCATAAATATATTTAGTAGGTATATATTACTAAAGAGACGTGAGA